TAGAATTCTCCAGTGAAACCGTCTGGGCCAGGACTTTTTTTAGTTGGTAATTTTTTGATGACCTGTTCAATTTCTTCTTTTGTGATGGTAGGCCCTCATTTTTTGCCCAAACCAATACTGTAGTCCTTTTTTGACTTGTCTTGTTTCTTGAAATACCATTCTCTTGTACACACTGCTGCCAAATACAGCCTGTTTGTGTGCTGTTCTAGTAATATATCTGTACTTAAAAACCTTCAGAAACTTCTCATTGTCTACTGAATTGAAAATACAGTTTTCTAACCTAACATTCAAGGTCCTCAACAAAACGACTACAATATGCCTTTTTGCTTATGTTTGCCTACTTTAACCCTACTTTTTTTCCAGCCAAACTAGTCTGTTCAGCATTTTGGGAATCTATCTTGTGGCTTCTCTGCATTAAGCCTCCACATTTTATGCTTCTGTCTCCGCCTGCAATGTCCTCCTCCATGTGGGTGCCTTCTCTTCAGCCAGCTCATTTATCAAGACCACGTCCTCCATGTACTCTTTCCAGATTCCCATTCTCTAGGCCTCTCAGGTGTATGTCCTCTCTTCTCTGGATGCCCTCAGCACTTTGTTTACCTTCTTTAATGGTATTTGTCTTATTTGGGTACTTGCCTTTTCTACCATACTAGATTGTAATCTGAGGGCAGATGTTTTATACTTAAGTTCACTGGAACAACAGTGCAACAACAATGCCAACTAGCATTCATTGAACACTTTGTATTTGCTTGGCATTGCTTTAATCAGTTTTCACAAATTAATTTATGTACCTATAAGATAAATGCTATTATCATCCCCAGACTGTCGGTGGGGAAATAGGTAAAGAGAGTTTAAGTAGAAAGTGACAGAACTGGAATTTGAATCCCCAGGGCTTAAGACTTCAGAGCCCATATTCCTAACCTGCTGCCTTTTTGGAGGTTCTGTAAATACTGAATTATATAATATTTATATAAATTTATACATATTATTATTTTTTGTTTATGTGCCATGAGGTGGAGCCACAAATTATTATTATACAAGAATAATTTTTTTTTCTGGTTTAAATAGAGACACAGAAGTTAAAAATAGTATATGATGATGCTGATACTCAGATTCATGAATGGCAGTCCTTATATTTATACAACATTCCATTTGGCTGGATTTAATAGTGAATGTATAAGTTGTCTGAAATACCTTCAATGGTATGTCCTGACAAATACTCCCTCATAAAGTAGATAGATTATAGCTACCTTAGATTTAAGTTCTCTGTTATATAGATTGGGAGTCTGGTTATATAGATTAAGGAATTTTGAAAGGTAACTATCCTGAATGAATACTACTCAAAATAGAAAATGAATGTAATTCTTTAAGCTCTTTTATGGATAACTTGGGAGAGCTAAAGTATTCTTACATGTTTTAAACACTGTCTTCTGTAAATATTGTATTTACTTATTAGCTAACCAGATGAATAAACTACTTCATTTCTGGTGGTTTCATAAGGATTATAACTTCATAGAAATTTGAATTTTTTTTTCTTTTTAAAGCAAAGCCAGTGGTTGTTAATGCAGCCCCAGTACGGATGTCAGTTCCAATTGTCCCAGCACAAACTGTCAAACAAGTGAGTATCACACACCTCCTTTTCTCAGTCTCTCTCAAGAAGACAATTTACTTTTAAAAACTGAAAGTTCAGATTTAAGGACAAGAGATTAATACTGAAATGAGTAGTTGTAAAATTTATTTCTGTACTCACTGATACATTTCTCTTCTTTTTAGGTTGTTCCAAAACCAATCAATCCAACATCACAGATAGTTACTACTAGCCAGCCTCAGCAACGGCTTATCATGCCTGCCACACCACTGCCACAAATCCAGCCAAACCTCACTAACCTTCCACCAGGCACTGTCCTGGCACCAGCCCCAGGAACTGGAAATGTAGGCTATGCAGTACTTCCAGCTCAGTATGTTACTCAGGTATGTTGAAAAAAATTAAGTCATTCCATTTCAAAAAGGATAAATAAGTCCAAAAATCTTTTAAAAACATAAAAAAGAAAAAAGAAAACAAACCAAACAATTTGCTGTCGAATTGATTCTGACTTATGGAGACCCCATGTGTTGAAAAGTAAATTGTGTTCTGCAGGGGTTTTTGAAGCTACCCTTTAGAAGCAGCTTTGGGTGGGTTTGACATACCAGTCTTTTAGCTAGTAGTTGAGAGCTTAGCCATTTACGCCTCTCAGATATCCTCAGCTCTCTTGTCTTAACATATTCTGTAACTACTCACAAGAATCATCTAACTCAGTATTAAAATGGCTCTTTCCAAGATCTTGAAAAGCTACCAAAAACATCTATGTATATCTCAGCATTTAGAAATGCACAGCACAAGTCAGATAAGTCAATTTGGAGTGATAGCATCTTGATGAGAGGGGCAAGATTATTTAGATTTAAGAGAAAATACATTGAAGTTAAAATCAGCAGACTCCAAGTGAAGTTGGAAAAGACTGTGACTATCATAAATCTCTCCCTCACACATGAACGTGCTGCCACTGATATGCTCTTGGAAAATAGGCTGTGACGCATTTCCGTGTCAGATAACTTCACTGATCCGTCCAGAGAGTCTCATGCTCCTCTCTAGAGTCAAAGCCATGTATTAGCCAATAGGCTGGCTTGAGCTGGAGAGTGCTGCTCTGAGGAAACAGCAGTTTTCTTTGTTATGTAAAGATTCAGCATATCAGCACTATGTTATAAGCAGTTGCATTGATCATCTAAGGTTATAAGAGAGGGAAACAAACCATTTGTATATTTCAGTGATATATACTTTTGGATATGTTATAGGGCTACTGATAAAAAATTAAAGTTTACTGTTTTTACCATTAACATCTCTTTTCTTATGCTTAAAAATTAGCATAAAATAGAAAATTAGTACACATGTAACTTCTCATTTTTTATGATTTGCAATGTGACGAATAATCAGTATAGTACCTATTTTATTTGTAAGTAGACACCATGCATTTTTCCATTTAATGAAAATTATCGTAATACTTTGAGGCCATGCAACTAAATTTTCCTAAATTCTGACATGTTAATTCTTCTATGAAGTGATTTATTAAATATTTGAATCATGTAGTACTTTATAATGTTCACATTTCTTTTCAGCTTTGTTATTTATTTGGGTCTTTAAAAGAGCTCTCTGAAATTGTGTGTTTATATGAAATTCCCCATTCTGTTTTCCCTATTTTAGTAGATGAATTTGTGCTTTTATTGACCATCGTATCTGAGAGTTATACATTTTTGCAAGTATGGTCTAAAATTGCCTTTCTTTACATGTAGCTACAGCAGTCTTCATATGTATCTATAGCGAGCAACTCTAACTTTACTGGAACACCTGGTATCCAGACCCAGGCAAGGCTTCCATTCAATGGGTGAGTAGTTTGAAAACATGTAAATTGAGTTGTTATATTAGCTTAATTGCAACATAAAATACACATTTCAAAATACATCCTCTTTGAGAATTTGTTTTTTATTCCCTCAGATACATGTGAACAGGCCTGTAAAGTACTTTCTGTTTTGAAATACTAAAGACTTACAGAAAAGTTACAGGAATAATCAAAGAACTCCCAAGTAACCTTTGCACACATTCACCAATTTTGCCATATTTGTTTTATTATTTTTGAGAGAGTGAGTCCTGGTTTGTTTGTTTTTTTTTACATTTTATTGTGGTTTGGGTGAAAGTTTACAGAGCAACTTAGTTTCCTATTTGACAGTTTATATACATTTTATTTTGTGACATTAGTTACAGTCTCTTCAATGTAACAGCACTCTTCGCACTGCTGTTCCCCATTTCCATTACCTTCTTACCCCTTCCTGCCTGTGAACTTTGTGTTTGGGCAAGTGCTGCCCTTTTGGTCTCATGTGGTTGATTGTTCTGAGAGCATGTTCCTCATTATTGTTCATTTGATAGGCTTGTCTATTGTTTAGCTGAAAAGTGATCTTGAGGAGTGGGGTCAGTTCCAGGTTTGAAGGATATCTAAGGACTATAGTCTTATTGGTCTCTATCAGACCAGTAAGTCTGGTCTTTTTTATGATTTTGAATTTTATTCTACATTTTTCTGTCACTCAATCCAGAATCTTCTATTGTGATCCCTTCAGGGTGGTTGCCAGTGGTAGCTGGGTACCATCTAATGGTCTCAGGCTAGTGGAGGCTGTGGTTTGTGTTGTCCATTAGTCCTTTGAACTAATTGTTTCCTTGTCTCTTTGATTTTCTTCACTCTTCTTTGTTTAGGATGGGAAGAGACCAATAGTTGTATTTTAGATAATGGCTCACAAGCTTTTAAGACCCCAGTCATAATTTACCAAAGTAGGATAGAACATTGCCTTCATGTACTGTTAGGGTCCTAACCCCTTAAGCCCAGTGATTCAGTCCCTTAAGGTGTTTGGTCATGCCTAAGAACTTTGCATAACTTTGCGCCTATCTGTTCTACTATATACCTGGATGTAGATTTGCAGCACATACAAATATGTATATAGAAATATCCTCTAGCAAACCTATATATGCTTACATACCTACCTTTGTATCTACTCATAAATTATTGTGATTACTGTTATTGCAGGATTGTGTATGTCATGGTATTTACCATTGTTGGCTTTTACTCTTGCATATAATTGTCAGTGTCTTCCTTTGCCTTGGTCACTTTGTACTGACTTCACCCGTATTATGTATTGCCTTTCCTTTCACCTGAAGGAGCTCTTGTAGTGTAGTGCCTAAGGCACTTGACTGCTAACCAGAAAGGTTGCCAGTTCAAAACCCACCAGCCATCCTTGAAAGGAAGGTTGGGCAGTCTACTTCCATAGTGATACTGCCTCGGAAACCCAAGGAGGGGTTGCTATGAGTCAGGTCTGACTCGATGGTACATAACAACAACAGTATCTACTTACTGATTTTTCCCTCCTTCTCCCTGTCACCCCTGTAACCATCAAAGAATGTTTCTTTCTGTGCATAAACCTTTCCTTGACTTTAAAATAGTGGTCTCATACAATATTTGTGCTAGTTTGATTGACTATTTCACTCAGCATGATCTCCTTCAGGTTCATTCATATTGTGAGATGTTTCAAGGATTCATCATTGTTCTTTCACATTTTGTAGTATTCCATTTTATGTGTCTGTGTACCATAGATTGTTATCCATTCTTACATTGATGTGCACTTAGGCTGTTTCCATCTTTATGCTGTTGGAATAATGCTATGATGCACATGGCTATGCATATTTCTATTCATGTCTGAATAGTTTTTTTTAATGATATTAATTCCTTTTTAAATTATGTTAGATCCTTGCTTTTTGTTTGTTATTTTTTTTCTGTCTCTGCAATATCAGCTTAGAATCAGTACTTAGTTAATTACACAGAATTAGCTTAGCCCCACTTGTCAAATTCTTCTCTCATACACCCCTCTCTCCTTACTACTTTTTATAATTGGATTCCAAGAGCTTTGAATAAATTTCATTTGTTCTCTAAAAATGAAGATTATTTGTAGCGCATTCTTTAGCAGGTATTCTTCATTCTTCTCATTATATATCTTGGCTCTCTACTTTTTTCATGTTACAACTTGCCTTTGTGCTTCGTGTGAATGGAACAACATAGCAAACTTTTACTAGAGATATATTTTTTAAGCTTTATTTTGTGAGAAATTTACAGATTTGGAGACTTTTCTATTTTAAATGTTTAACTTTAATTGATTAAAATGTGTATCTTTTATGTGTGTCTGTATAGCATAATCCCTTCGGAGTCTGCCAGTCGGCCCAGAAAGCCCTGCAATTGTACAAAGTCGCTGTGTTTGAAATTGTAAGTGTTTTGCTACTGTTTGCTCATTTAATATAACTGGAAATGCTTTTAAAAGCAAATAGGATTAACTGAAAAAATTAAAAGATAATTTTAAATTAAATTAAAAGTATTTTAAATACCAGTATAAGTAAATATTTGCATATATATGGCAGTGTGAAAATACTCTTTCATTCATTCATTCAGAAATAATTTTAGAGTCTTCACTATACATAACTCATTGGATTAGGGATTAGGGATACAGTAGTATGAGACAGACATAATCTTTGCCTTTAATAATAATATTATATTTTATCTTATTTATGATCCTTGTGTGTGGCCTCCTAAGTGAAGTGATGGATGCTCTGAATAGTTTTAAAAATTGTCAAATGATTAGTTTGCCTGTTAGTACTGAACTAAGAGATTTGACATGAAAAAGTTAAATGAGAAGGGGGGTTAGAATCTAAAGAAGCACTGTTGTAGTTTAAGTGAACAGGTTTTACTAGTAGAATAGAGCTAGTGGGTTTTTTTCTTTTTAATAATTTAATTTGTGGACACATAAAATCACTAGAGCTCTTATGTTGACACTAGTTGAACAAGTTTATAGGGTAAAATTCTAGAAGCTAGTGACTTAAATTTTGAGCCTTAATATGTGGTTGACAGTATAGTGTTAACTAGGTGGCTCTCAGTATATTTCTAAAATGTTTTACCATATATGTAATGCTACTGGGAGCTCTTGTGGTGTAGTGCTTAAGGCATGTGACTGCCAACCAGAAGACTGATGGTTCAAACCCACCAGCTACTCCTCAGAAGGAAGGTTGGGCAATCTACTTCCATAGAGATACCACCTTGGAAACCCAAGGAGGGATCGCTATAAGTCAAGTCGAATTGACTTGACAGCAGTGACTTTTAGGAGCTCTGGTGGTGTAGTGACAAAGACATTTGACTGCTAACCAGAAGGCTGGTGGTTCAAACCTACCAGCCAGTCCTCAGAAGGAAGACTGGGCAATCTACTTCTGTGGAGATACCACCTTGGAAACTCAAGGAGGGGTCACTATGAGTCAGAGACAACTCAACGGCAGTGAGGTGTTTTTTTTTTTTTTTTTTGGTTTTTAATGTTATTAAATCAGTTTCTAGGTTTAATTGTGCTGTTTGCTACTCTCTACTTTATACTGATTTTTATATTCCAGATATTGTGATTGCTTTGCAAATGGTGAATTTTGCAACAACTGCAATTGTACTAATTGTTATAACAATTTGGAACATGAAAATGAAAGGCAAAAAGCAATAAAGGTGATTATTTTTTATTTAATTTTATTCAACTGGCAAATTTTTCTAACTTCACTTGTCTTTTGCAGTGCTTAATTGTTTTGCTTAAAATAATTTAATGTCCTTTGCAGTGCTTAAATTTCATGTTCTGTGCTTTAACTTCCATTGGTATTTGATCTATTTTGATAGGCATGTCTTGACAGAAATCCAGAAGCCTTTAAGCCTAAAATAGGCAAAGGAAAGGAAGGAGAATCAGATCGACGTCACAGTAAAGGATGTAATTGCAAACGATCAGGATGTCTTAAAAACTACTGTGAATGCTATGAGGTGAGATGCTTGTGAGGGAGAATAATCTAACCATCTTTTGAAAATAACTTTAGCGCAGGCCTACCTATATAAATATACTTGAAAACTAGGGCACTGCTTTGCAGTTTGAAAATATGCATCATCTGACTCAAGGTCCTTGTTTGGAAAAGGCCTTCTGGCTTCCCAAGCAGAGCATCAGAGGATCAGTGCCTTGGTCTTGTTATTACAACTTGAGGTCTTATTAGCTGATTTATCAGCTCATAACTTCTTGGTCATTATACCTGGAAATATGCATATTGGAGCATATGTTTGTTGATTTTTGGTAAAAAATAATAATAATACTCATCAAAGTGGACTGAAAACTGTAGCAACTAAGTTCTCAACTGAGGAGGCAGTACTACCCAATTTCCTCTGTAGGCTTTCTGAAAATATATACAGATATAAAATAGCTTGCATTCCAGGAAGCAGTCCTGTAAGTTAAGGGTTACCTTGCTTGGCATACTTGAGGAACACTTGGTCTGTGGAAAACCAAATTATGTTAAGAAGGTTACTTTGAGAGCATAAAAATAGAAAAGGACTCTTCTTCTTCTGCCCTTCCTCAGTGCAGGTGCCCTTTCACCTCCTTAATAAAATCTCCTGTTGGGTAAAAAAAAAAAAAAAATAGAAAAGGAATGAGGAATATAGCTGGATGTGATTTTTGTCCACTGTGGGGTGATTGTGTCTGTTTTCACTGTTTTACTATAATATTCAACTGGTCATTTATATTTATGGGTCAGGGCATCTTCCTTGGAAAATGCAGTTGAAATTCCACTTTGACAGATACCATGTAAATCATCCCCATTTTGCTTCATGTCAAATATCATATAATTTATTATTTTTATTTTCAAAGCTTAAATACAGCAATCTAGGATGTGTGTTATTATGATTATTATGGTAACCTGAGGTTACCATAATAGTTTCTTGGTATGCCTGAAACTCTTTACTGACAGTCTTTTGGGTTGAGTTTTTCCTGTAGGTTGACTCTTATCATCTGTTATATTTTCATTCATTCATTTTCTTCTCCTTCTTTCAAATTTCATTCTCAGAGGGAGACCTTATTTTTAGTTTTGGCAGAAGGCCTAGCTATGCAGCTGGTAAAGTAACCCCAAGAAGGGCTGCACACACCTCCCTGGTAAGGAACATACATACCTGCAGTTCGATGCTGTCTCCCATACAACATGTACCATATTAAAACTTTTGTCTACTAGATTTTCTGTAGGAGCTCTGGTAGCGTAGTGCTAACCAGAAGGCTGGTGGTTCAAACCCACAAGCCACTCTTCGGAAGGAAGGTCAGGCAATCTACTTCTGTAGTGATACCACCTCGGAAACCCAAGGAGGGGTCGCTATGAGTCAGGTCTGACTTGACGGCGAATAACAACAACAACAACAACGAGATTTTCTGTATAATGACTTTTTCCTTAAAAAAAATTTAAAAGTAAAAGTCTCTGAAGAAGTAAAGAAATACAGTGAAGTAACACCTTGTTAGTTCTAATGTATATGTGAATATTGCATATAATCCAGATTATTTTTGAAAATCTCTTTAATAATATCTCATGATCCAACAAGCCAATATTGGGATTTTTATCCACTATTGGAATAGATGACTGTTTCTTCTATTTGAACACCAGATTAAATAGTTGGCTTGTGTTCATAGGATATATCATCCAAAAGTTGTCATGAATATATAAAAATTAATCTGTAGACAAAACTTTTTATTTTGTAAACTATCAAACCAAGTCCATAAAAAGAGAAACTGAGTCAGAAGAACAAAGTTGCTCTTTAATGTACACGACATTGAATACTCAGTCTGTGCAAGGCATATGAAATCCAAACATACATGAAATAAGCATTTGGTTGAACTGGTTAACAAACCTATCAATTAACAGAAATAGAAAAGACAGGTTGAAAAAGTGCTAGATGAGAGAAATCTGCCTGATCTATTTTAAGAAAGTCTTGGACATTCAAAGCATACACAGTGTGTTATTTGTCATGAATCAAGAAATGGAAAAATCTAGCATACACTAAAGTTGGAATCCCTGGGTGGTGCAAATAGTTAAGCACTTGACTCCAGTAGCCAAATGATTGGCGGTTGGTACTCACCCAGAAGGGCTTCTCAAGACAGGCCTGGCAGTCTGCTTCTGAAAGGTCACAGCCTTGAAGATCTATGGAGCATTTCTACTCTGCATCCATATGGTCAACATGAGTTGAGATGACAGTCAGCAACTAGCAACAACGTGACGTAAAAACCAGTTGCAGTCAACTTTATTTCGACTTCTGGTAACCCCGTGCCTGTCAGAGTAAACTGTATTTTTGGAAGTAGGTTATCAGGCCTTTCTTCTGAGGTGTGTCAGGGTGATCTCAAACCTCTAACTTTTCTGTTAATGAACCCAGATCTCTTGTGTGGGAGGTGGGAATTCTACCATTGAAACATCACTGCCCTCTTGCACTGAGACTAACCCATTGCCATGGAGTCTATTTCAACTCATAGTGACTCTGTAGAGAAAGAGTAGAACTGTTCCATAGGGGTTCCAAGGTTATAATCTTTATGGAAGCCAACTGTCACATCTTTCTCCCATGGGCAGCTGGTGGATTTGAACGTCTGACCTTTCCATTAGCAGCCGAGTACTTAATCACTGTGCCATTAGAGCACCTACCCAGAGACTAGCAGTGGCAAATTGACTCATGTCATAGAGCAACATCATGGAATCGGCTTAAGTAAAAGCCAAGCGGGTTTATTGAGGGATAGATATGCCCCAGACTGGGAAGATGTCCAAAATCACAGAGTGAAGATGGCCGCTGTGCCAGACAGTGAGGGAAAATTTGTTTTTGTGCAGTTAGAGCAGGAACTAAAAAGTTACACAATCATAGTTGGCTAAAAGACAATCAAGGGAGACAAAAGTGGGGTATCTAAAACAGGAATTTAGCAGGGATAGGTGGATAACACATAAATGGAATTGCATGATTGGTTAAGGTTGTATAAGTACCCTTTAATTTATTATAGGATGGTCACAGGACAGTGGCAGGACAGGGTTTTTCTGGTAACCTGTTTAGCAAAATTTCTTCCTCAGTCATACCTGTTTCTGGGGATCCATTGCAAAGATTTATGGTTAATTCTATCCATCAAGACCCTTTGGTTATAAGCCATCACATCTTGCATCTGTTTGAACATAGTGAAAAGACTCTCTGGGAATAGACTGTGATATTCTGCACCTGCCAGACCTCAGAGCAAAAGAATGTCTCCTTTTCGGTATATGGTCATCATCGAGATTAGAGGAACTGCTGTTAGAAAAGGCAGCTTTAAAATGCAACATGGATTTTAGACATGTACCCTTTGACCAGTTAGCACAATTCTAAAATCTATCCCATAGAAATAAAAGCACTAATATATACAAAAAATAAGCCTTGGTGGCCCAGTGGTTAAGCATTCAGCTGTTAACTGAATTGTTAGTGGTTCAAACCTGCTAGCCACTCTGAGGGAGAAAGCTGTGGCAGTGTGCTTCCATAAAGATTACAGCCTTGGAAACCCTGTGGGGCAGTTCTGCTCTATCCTGTAGGGTTTCTTTGAGTCAGAGTCCACTCAATGGCAGTGCAGTAACATATATATAAATTCTTTTTAGGCAAAAAAAATAATTTTGGAACCCAAGAACCAGCAACATTGAATGCCCATCAATAGGGAAATGAATGCCTCCAAAAATAAAGCCCATTCATAACAGGAATTAATACCCAGCCATTAAATAGAATGAATTCAGGCTATGCCAGACAGCTTGGAGGGATTCCAAGAGATATTGTAGTGTGAGAAAAGCAAGGTACAGAAAAGTGGATATATTATGATCTCATTTTTGTAAAACAAACCTACAAAAAAGAGTTTTGTATTTATGAGGCAGTGTATTGTATATATATATGTCTGTTTTTTATATAAATATTTCACATTATTACATGAAAGGAAACAATGGTTTAATATGGAGTATTGAAGGGAGTGGGGAATCTAGGAGAGGAAGTACAGAAAGGGAGTTAACAATAATAAAAATAGCATTTATGAAATCCTTTAATGTGAAATTGTGTGTGATTGCATAAATGGAGGTCAGCAACGTGCTAATGCAGGTTTGAGTTGAGGTTGTGAGATTCTTGATGACCCTTATTTTAAAATATTTTTATGTATCATTCATGTTCTTTGTAAAGAACATTGTTATTTACATCAGGAGGGAAATTTATATTCATAGTGGGGGAAAGTTGACATGGAATGTCCCAAACACAGACATTGGACAGCCACTCTCAGACTCAAGACTATCTGAATTAGCTACATGAGCAGTTAGCCTATATTGTGTTTGTAGCAAGAGGAATTTCCATCTATCTTATGTCAAGTGACAAGATAATTCTATTATCTATTGATTCGATGGTAGAACCTACTTGTAATAATGTTTTTTGGTTTTGATTTGAAAAACTTTTCTTTGTCAATCTTTTAGGCAAAGATAATGTGTTCCTCAATATGCAAATGTATTGGTTGTAAGAATTTTGAAGAAAGCCCAGAAAGAAAGACTTTGATGCACTTGGCAGACGCAGCCGAAGTCAGGGTCCAACAACAAACAGCAGCAAAGACTAAGCTATCCTCTCAAATTTCAGACCTGCTCACAAGGCCGACCCCAGCTTTGAACAGTGGAGGCGGGAAGTAAGTCAATATTTTAACCTATTTTTAATAGTATGGTGTGAATGTTTATTTTTTTGTAACATTATTTCTTATCTTGCCAAAGTAGAATTCACACTATGGTTGATGCAAACCTGACTTTGACATTTTTTTTTCCATCTTTAGTTACTTGTTATAAAAGAATTTAAAGCAACACCATTGTCAGATACATTGCACAGTTCTCAAATGCAGTTAATACTTTTTAGTTCACATTTTAAGCTTAATTTAATTGGATCTGTCCCTACTAAGATGAAGTAAAGGAATCTAATGAACCCTCAAGAAAATTGAATTTTTTGTACCTCTTACTGGTATTGTGTTAGGAGACAAAAGACTAGGTTCAGACACCTAGTCTACCTGGCTACATGGAAGTCAGGGCATAACTGATGACCATGTGGCCATGAGTCATGGCCACTAGGTGGCTACAGGACCTTTTTATTTTACAGAGACCGTTTTATTAAGTCTTAGGACAATCACCAAGGATGAGGGAAACCATCAGCATGTACATAGTCCACAAAAAACCAAACTCGCTGCTGTTGAATCGATTTCAACTTATAGCGACCCCTCCTTGGGTTTCTGAGGTGGTGTCACCACAGAAGTAGATTGCCCAACCTTCCTTCTGAGGAGTGGCTAGTGGGTTTGAACCACTAGCCTTTACAGAAGCCAAGTGGAGTGCACTGAATCACAGTCATGGTATTCATTATATTTGACAGACCAAAAACGAAAACCAAACTCACTGCCATAGAGTCGATTCCAACTCATAGCAACCCCCATTGGGTTTCCAAGGTAGTAAATCTTCATGGAAGTAGACTGCCCACTCTTCTTCCTGCAGAGTGGCTGTTGGATTTGCAATCAAATGCCTTAGGTACTAAGCCACCAGAGCTCCTTATATTTGATGGAGTATAAAGGAAATCATCACCAGATCATGATTGGTGGCAGGTCCGTTAATCACTGTTGCAGGCGGGGCTTTAGAAACAGGGAAAGGACCATGGTTGGGATATGTACACAACTGAAGATTAAAAAGAGTTACAGGAATGGTTCTCAGGTTTGACCACCTGGCTGCAGGGAGGTCAGGGTATGAATGATGACCATGTGGCCCTGAGTCATCTGCTAGGTGGCTGCAAGGCAAAATCAGGACCTCACCCTTTAAATTAGATAACATGGCTGTTTTCAATAAATCCTTAAGGACATTCCCAGGTAAATTCCCTAGTTTTTTGTGTGAACATAATCCACTTTAAACTACATTCTTCCTGCGAGCAGATGACCCCTCCCTGGGTTTGTCCTAGACTTGTCTAAGCATAGCTGCCACATTGCTGATTTAATGATCAGAAAGAACTCAAATGAAGTTAGGGCTCTGCTGTAGACTGCCCGCAGCCTTCCACGAACCAAGTGGGTTATAATTAAGCTCTAATACAGTAGTAAAGAAAGAATTGGCCAGGGAAAACCTTATGAATAGCAAAGAAACACTGTTTGGTACATTACTGTGCAACTTTAGGAATAGTCCGTTTAGGCTAAAAGGCTCGCAAAATAGGACTGGGAAAGAGCTGCAACATCTGAGTAAACCCAGCCTTACTCATGGAAAAGAGAAAGCTTTCGAGACCTTCATTTGCTGATGTGGCACCACTCAAATTGAAGAGAAACAGCCGCAGACATCCATTAATCATCGGAACATGGAATGTATGAAGTACGAATCTAGGAAAATTGGAGGTTCTCAAAAAGGAAATGGAACGCATAAAGATTGATATCCTCGGCATTAGTGAGCTGAAATGGACTGGTTTTGGCCATTTTGAATCAGACAACCATATGATCTACTATGCCGGGAATGACAGTTTGAAAAGGAATGGCGTGACATTCATCCTCACAAAGCATGTTTCAAGATCTATCCTGAAGTACAATGCTGTCAGTGATAGGATAATATCCATACGCCTACAAGGAAGACCCGTTAATATGACTGTTACTCAAATTTATGCCCCAACCACCAAAGCCACAGAGGAGGAAATTGAAGAATTTTATCAGCTTCTACAGTCTGAAATTGACCAAACATGCAATCAGGATGTGTTAATTATCACTGGTGACTGGAATGCCAAAGTTGGAAACCAAGAAGAATCACCGGTAGTTGGAAAATTTGGCCTTGGTGACAGAAATAATGCTGGAACTGGTATGGTAGATTCAAAAATGTGCGTTGCTGTTGTTAAGTGCCGTCGAGTTGTTTCCGACTCATAGCGACCCATGCACAGCAGAACGAAACACTGCCTGATCCCGCGCCAGCCCCACAATCCCTGCTATACTTGAGCCCATCATTGCAGCCACCGTATCAATCCATCTCGTTGAAGGCCTCCCCCTCTTTTGTCGACCCTCCACCCTACCAAGCATGACATCCTTCTCCAGGGAATGGTCCCTTCTTACCACATGACCAAAATGCACTTTTATTAAGCTTTGGACAGGACAAAGACAAAACAAAGACAGTCATCCAGGATGAGGGAAGCCATCAGCATGTACACAGTACAGAGAGCTGAATGGAGTCCTCTGAGTCACAGCCAAGGGGCTAGTTATATATGATTGGAGGGGAAAAAGGGGGGGGGGATCTTCACAGAGTCATGATTGGGGGCAGATTGATTCATCACCATTGCAGGTGGGACTGACTACAGAAGTGAGGAAATACCCTGATTGGGAATTGAAGATAAAAAAAAGGGTTACAGGATTGGTTCTGGGCCTTGACTACCTGGTTAGGTGATGGTCTCATGCATGACCCTGCAGCTTGAGTCTTAGCTATAAAATGGCTGCCAAACAATACCAAGACCATAATCTCAATTTAAATTAGAAAAAGACATACTCAGGCAAGTTCCCTAGTTCTTTGTGTGAGCATAATCTACTTTCAACCACATTCCCCTGAAGGCAAACTGCCCCTCCCTGGAGGGGCAGGTTTATTCCTGGAACTTGCCTATGCATAGCCACAATGCTGGTTAAATAGTCAGAAAGAACCCAAATGGCATCTTAAACTTGTGTCAAGCCTCAAAATGGAGTTAGGGCTCCCACTGCAGACCATGGAAAATGGAGTTAGGGCTCCCACTGCAGACCATGGCCTTTCACAAACCAAGTGCTTTAGAATTTAAGCTGTAATACTGTCGGAATCAACTCAATGGCAGTGGGTTTGGTTTTGTTTTTGATAACATATTATATTATTGAAATCGCTTATTGTTACATCTTTCATTAGGCTTCTGAACGCTGGAGTAGGAAAAGCTTAAGCTTTTAAATCAGGCATACCTGCATTAAAATGCTGTCTGTGCTCCTTCCTCTCTCTGAGCCTGTTTTCTTACCAGGTGGCTATGAGAATTAAAGCATCTCCGTCCCGGTGTTTGGCAGTGCTTGATGCTACATAGTTTGCTGACTTGGACTTTTTAGAAAGTTTGTTCGAGGTTAATTTGAAGAATTATTAAATAGATAAGCTTTGTAAATGATCTATTATTTCAAAAAACCTAAGTTGAAATAGGTAGCTCTGGTAGCATAGTGCCTAAGGCACTTGACCGCTAACCAGAAGGCTGGCAGTTCAAACCCACCAGCCACTCCTCGGAAGGAAGATAGGGCAATCTACTTCCATAGTGATCCTGCCTCAGAAACCCAAGGAGGGGTCACTATGAGTCAGGTCCGATTTGACAGCACATAACAACAACGAAGTTGAAATGAGACCTGATGCTTTATAAAGTTGTGGCTTTATTTATACAAAATATTTGAGATATAACTTCTAAAGAACTCTTATAACTGGAGTATAATCAGCAAATCATCCTTGAATGAATTAAGGACTAATTAGGTAGCATCTTAAGAAAGGTTATGACAAGGGATTATTTCTGGTCATCTGTTTGTAACAATCTTTTAAGGTTGTTTAGTCTACTGTGAAGATAAAGATATTGCTACATTAAAATGTTTCCATTAATTTTTTACCGTGGAAGAATTATAAAGTGAAAAAGAACAAAAAATTATATACTATAATCAAAACTATATAGAAAAGATTATACCAGCTTGTTAACAAGCTGTATCCTTGAATGACAAAAGCCTTGATTTTTTTTCTTCCACTTTTCCATTAAACAAAACAAAAAACAGCCAAGACCACTGCCATTGAGTCAATTCCAGCTCATAGTGACCCTTTAGGATAGAGTAGAACTGCCCCTATAGGGTTTCCAAGGCTGTAAATCTTTATGGAAGTAGACTGCCTCATCTTTTTCCCACAGAGTAGCTGGTGGGTTCGAACTGCTTACCTTTTGGTTAGCAGCTGAATGCTTTAACCACTATACTACCAGAGATCTTCCCCTACCTTACTGCAGTTTCCAGATATTTTATAGTGAGCACTTTTCTATCAGTAACTGCTTACTTCCAAGTTGTTAAGTTAGTAGTTAGATTAGAGTGCCTGATTAAATCTGTTGAAGACTTTAAGGCTTGCCTTGGCTACAATATAGCAAGCCTCAGGATGGATTGCTCTAACTTAATACTCAATCGTTCTAGTGTTTATAAATGAAATCCTGTATGCTTCCCATAAGTGCTTTCCCTATTTCTGTTGCTACTGTTTGTGTGTGTGTGTATGTGTGTGTGTTTGATGGAACAATGCAAATGTTTGAGGTTTTTTGTTTTGTTTTGTTTTTTTACATTTTTGTATGTTTTTTACAAACAATATGTAGTAATATGATATGTGCTTTATTTTCAGTGTTGCCAAAGCAATAGCGCTTTACGTTCCCAGTATTATTCATTCATTCATTCAACAAATATTTATAGGTATCATCATGTGCCTGTTCTAGGCACAAGAGAAACAGTGAATAAAACAAAGACTGCACACATGGAGCTTCCATTCATGAATTGGGAGGACTTCAGTTACAGAAACTTTAGTCTATATGTATGCAAAAACGACAAGGAGGCCACATGTTCTGACCTCCTCTAACCCTACAAGAGGAAGACAGGATTACCAGCAGTAACCCAAGGCCTATTCCTGCCAGGCCAGACATGCTGCCTCCCCCCTCCAGCCCTTGCTCCAACTGTTCTCCCAAAGCACCCACCACCTCTCTCCTGGGTTCAGTAATTCACTGCAGTGGCCACACAGAACTCACGGATTACGGGGTTTATTAGGGAAGCACCAGGCTACAACTCAAGTTTAGGAAGAACACTCAGTCTCTCTCCCAGCCCACCGTCCCTCAGTCAACAGTCTCTCACAGTCTCTTTCCCAGCAGTGCTGGTCCTTCGGTGTCTCACTTAGCGATGCGTGTCTCTTGCGTCTCTTTCCCAGCAGCGCGTGTCTCTGTCAGGGGCGCATGTCTCTTTCAGCAGCACGTCTTCCTCCACCAGCAATCAGAGAGAGTTTTGCCTCTAGGAGGCCTCCTTTTGAGCCCGGCAGGGTGGTCAAATTAGCCAATCATAGCATCAGAACTCTAAGCACCTGAGAGAGAGTGGGCACCTCCCAGAACATTGTATTGTGCCACTCCCAACAGAAATACTCCAGGTGGACAACTTCAGCAATCAGGAGCTCCTCAGTTGCTCACAGCAAATCCCAACTTGGAGTTTACAAAGACTTATGGGTAGAAAAGCCACACAAAGTAATTTACTACACTGCAATGTAAAATCACCTCTTTTAGTTAACCAGATAGCCTTGATAGGTAATGACTCATGTTTTATGTAAAATGCTGCATTTCTTAATAAATATTTTTAAATGTGCTCAGTAATGAAACCAGATCTAACTTTATAAAGCTCTTTGTCAAATTGTCATATTGTGATGCTCAGAATACTGATGAGTAAGAAAATGTCAGTAGAAATTTCCAGATGAGTATCATCTCCACTTTTGTTGTAATTTGATCTTCTTTCTTTTTCTTTTCTCTCAAAAATCATTTCAGATTGCCATTTACGTTCGTAACCAAGGAAGTAGCTGAAGCCACGTGTAACTGCCTTCTCGCCCAGGCAGAACAGGCAGACAAGAAGGGAAAATCAAAGGCAGCAGCTGAACGGATGATACTTGAGGAATTTGGACGATGTTTGATGAGCGTCATCAACTCTGCAGGAAAAGCAAAAAGTGACCCTTGTGCCATGAATTGCTAACTTTTACAGAAAACACAGATGAATGGAACTGTACAGAAAATTTAAGGTGCAGAGACACTTGATTTTCTGGAAGATTAACAATTACTGTATTGTTAATTCTGTCCTTATTGTAAGAGACCTGGAATTATAATATTGAAAGAGAAGAAATTTTAAGTAAGGAATTAGTACATTTTAACTCTTATTTAACTCTGCTTAAGCCCCTTCTAAATTGAGTTTTTCCTTATTGTATTATAGAGATTTTTAATTTGCTTGGGTTTCCTGAGAATTAGATGTTCTATCATTCGATTCTATTGACATAAAACATTTATAAATTATTATGATATGATTTATAATGTATGCTGTTGTATGACTTTGTTCTGCTAGAGGAAGTCAAAGAGCATTGGTAATACCCAGTTGTTCTTTGGTATCAAACCTAGACTATAAGCAGATAGAATGTCTATGAAACATACTCAGTTGACATTCTGTGTTCATAAAAGCACTAACTTTTAAGAAAAATTAGCTTTTTAAGGAGGATTCTGGAATAATATCCCACTCTGGAATGATACCCTACTTTAGGGATATCAGAAGAGAAGTAACCCATAGGCGAACTTTTAAAGTAAAAAAGTTTTTTTTTTTTTTTTTTTTAAGTATCAAGTATTAAGGAGCAGTAAACTAAATCTCAGAGGATGGGCAATATGTTTCTGTAATAAGAAATGACTAACAATGTTCTGGGATGTCTCTTTTCTTTCAAAGAAGCTATGCATATTTGAAATGATAATAAATTGTCGTAAGTGATTGATTACTGGGTACTACTAAAATGGAAAGGTGCATCTGGATATTATATATACAGTGATAGTATAGAATGTCACATAATTATCAGGTATATAATTTGGCTTGGATGGAGAAATAAGGAATATTGAAGTGATAAGAGATGAAGAATTAGGGAAGGATTGTTCATCGCTAGGAAAAGTTCTCCTTACATACTTTTGAACTAAAGGTTTCAAACCAATATGTGACTCTTAGATGATTCACTGAAGTGAGCTTCCTAACAAAGCTTTCAAAATTATAATGGGATATCTTTTTATAAGGAAGATTTAACATGGCATTATTTTTAACCAGTGCTTTGGTAAGCTGAAGTATGAATGTTTTCATATAATTACTAAAAGAGCCTCAATCATTTTTGGTAATTCAGAATTCAAAAGCTTTATGAATTTGAGAGCCTGCTGTAATAGGACTCTTGATTTTATGACAAGAAAAACCATGTTGGAATTCAGGCATTTTGTTAGGTACCTTAATCCTTAGTAATTACTAGTATATAATTATTACATTTCCTAAAAGGAGTCTATAATTGTATGTATTAAGTGTGTATATATGTTCATATGAACACACAAAATGTAGACAATAGAAATTAAGTGATTCAGAAGAGGATTCCGTTATTCATTAAAGTATCTTCCTTTTGAAATTTGGATTTCAAAATTATAGTAAATGTAATGTAGATAGTGCAGATACTCTTAGCACCTCAATCTAGTATGTTTAATTAAAATTTGTATAAATGTAAATTAGTGTAAGAGGATAAAATAATATCTAATCAAGTTATTTTTCAAAAGATTGCAATACCTTTGGGTCTACACCTAAACGTCTTTGTTCATTTTGTACATACTCTGTGTTTAATTCTAATTGCACCTTTGTGATGTGTATTTATATACAGTGTGCAGAAAATGTTTGTGAAATTTGGATTACAATTGTAGATTATGTATGATGGCATTGCTTGACAATGTTTTGCTTGTAAAAATTTGAAGGTGCAATCAAATGCTACTAGTTTTTCTGATTTTTCAAGAAGTTATCTAAAGTATTAAGCCTTTTCCCTTCCTGTGTAGTACTTACTAAACAACTTCTTTTTATATTTAGGCATTTGCATCAAATTGCTGAACAAGAGTAATAGCCACCTTCAACAATTTTAAAAGACTATTTGGGGAGGGTTGAGTATATTTTTTAGCTCTATTTACATCCCAAAGTAGAAAGATTAAATTTATATTTACTAGAGCTATTCAAAGAATACACTTTTCTATATTGTAATAACAGGACAGCAAAGTAAATCATAAGGAAAATAAACATTTATACTATTCTGTAAAAAAAAAAGGTTTTGCATTTTTTTCTTTAGTTGAATACACCACAGTTAACATGCAAAGAAACCTTTTAAAAGATCGGATTTTCATGTAAATTTGACATTAGTTTTGAAAGCACACATTTTTTTTTAAATCTATCATTTTGCTCAATCTTATTAACAAATTGCCTGAAAAGGAGAATAAACATCTTTTGTTCTTTTTCCCTCTTGTTTCTCTTAAGACAGAAGCTCTATCTACTGTTCTTTAAATGTGTGATGTTCTTCTGATAAGCACCTTTTTTATTTCACTTTTCTCTAAGCAACGTGTAGGTCTCATCTCTGGACTATCTGGGAAACAGAAACTTAATGTTATAGGTAAAAAAAAAACAAAACAGAGCAGACCTTTGGGGATGGTGATGACTTTGGGGGTAGCGGTGGCAAGTATTGCTTTAGCTTCCCCATTCTTTGATATGGACAACTGACATTTTCTCAGTCTTATGTAAAATGTGAATAAAAAAACCTTTAGAAAAGTTTCCATTTTTATTGTTCTATAATACAAAAACTAAGAAAATGAATACTTGTTTTCCACATGCACCTTCAAACCAAGACCTCCCTTGAACATAATCGCATTCTGCTGTAGGAGCCTGGAGCAGCCATCCAAATCAGAAGGCAGCCCTTCAGCTAATAAGACTTTATTATTGATTAAGCTTTATTATTTATTTAATTATTTCCTATAGTGTAAATTACTTAAGGCTTTTTTCTTGTTAGCACTTCTTGAATGCATGCTTTACCATTATCTGTCTATCCTCCTTTGTCTTTGACTTAGTTAATTAGACACCAAATTCAGTGAGCTTTTGATGATCCAAGTGATTTTACAAGATGAAACTTACAGTCTTATTTTTTTAATTTCCTTCCAAATGGTAAGTTTTATGAAAGCATTGAGGCATTCTTAGTCTTCAAAAGCAATTAAAATTCAACTGTATTCAGGTTAACATCTATTAAGTCAAAGAGACTTCAAGACAAAGCCAATTACTATAATGAAATGTGCAAAGACCTGGAGTTAGAAAACCAAAAGGGAAGAATATGCTTGGCATTTGTCAAGCTGAAAGAACTGAGGAAAAAATTTAAGTCTTGAGTTGGCAATATTGAAATATTCTAAGGGCAAAATATTGAATGATGCAGGAAGCATCAAAAGAAGATGGAAGTAACATGGATGAACTTGGAGGACATTATTTTGAGTGAATATTTTGAGTGAAATAAGTCAATCACAGAAGGACAATTATTGTATTAGTCCATTATTGTAAAAAGTCAAGGAAAGGTTTATATATGGAAGGAAATTTTCTTTGTTGGTTACCAGGGGTGGGAGGATGGGGTAGGGAACACTGTTAGGTGGAGACAAGCATTGATTTGGGTGACGAGAAAGGCAATGTACCAAATGTGAGTGATCAACATGGTGGCATTGAGGAAGAAAAAGAGGTGCGTGGGTGGTATAGACAACAAGGATGAACCCTTTTGCACATACAGTACTGCGTTGTCAGTGAAGGCAAATATGAGTATATGAGTGGACAGACTGAACTATTAGCTGCTTCTATGCATGGGGGAGTGTGCCCAAGGCCATGTATAGGGTTGGCAGACAGTGTTTCTACAAGAGTATTTGTATGTTCTGTAAGAATTCCCAGGTGTATATTAGAGCTGACAAGGGGCAAGGATGTAGTCGCTTCTTGGGCACAGCCAGCTACCCAGAGGGAGTGAGTAGTTGGAACTGTGGGCTTGGGACCATAGTCACAGGGGACATCAAGCTCAATTGACATAACATACTACACAAAATATTGTTCCACCTCCTACTTTGGTGAGTAGCGACTGGGATCTTAAAAGCTTGCAAGTAGCCATCTAGGTGCAGCAATGGGTCTCTCCTCATCCAGAACAAGGAAGAATGAAGAAAACCAAAAATTCATGGAAACAATTAGTCCAGGCAACTGGTACATCATGCAGTCCTCAGCTTATAGGACTATGAGACCAGAAGAACTGGATGGCACCCAGCTACCACTTGGAGGGAGATCT